ATGTTTTTAAATTGCTTGTCTTTTCTCTAGAGCGTTCTTGTCAGACAGATAGATAGATAGATAGATAGATAGATAGATAGATAGATAGATAGATAGATAGATAGATAGATAGATAGATAGATAGATAGATAGATAGATAGATAGATAGATAGATAGATAGATAGATAGATAGATAGATAGATAGATAGATAGATAGATAGATAGATAGATAGATAGATAGATAGATAGATAGATAGATAGATAGATAGATAGATAGATAGATAGATAGATAGATAGATAGATAGATAGATAGATAGATAGATAGATAGATAGATAGATAGATAGATAGATAGATAGATAGATAGATAGATAGATAGATAGATAGATAGATAGATAGATAGATAGATAGATAGATAGATAGATAGATAGATAGATAGATAGATAGATAGATAGATAGATAGATAGATAGATAGATAGATAGATAGATAGATAGATAGATAGATAGATAGATAGATAGATAGATAGATAGATAGATAGATAGATAGATAGATAGATAGATAGATAGATAGATAGATAGATAGATAGATAGATAGATAGATAGATAGATAGATAGATAGATAGATAGATAGATAGATAGATAGATAGATAGATAGATAGATAGATAGATAGATAGATAGATAGATAGATAGATAGATAGATAGATAGATAGATAGATAGATAGATAGATAGATAGATAGATAGATAGATAGATAGATAGATAGATAGATAGATAGATAGATAGATAGATAGATAGATAGATAGATAGATAGATAGATAGATAGATAGATAGATAGATAGATAGATAGATAGATAGATAGATAGATAGATAGATAGATAGATAGATAGATAGATAGATAGATAGATAGACAGACAGCGAAACTATTATTATAGATTTAAGTCGCTTTTCAATAAAAATAAATTGGGGAGGGAAGGAAAGCTGAAGTGACTTCTAATTAGAAAAGAGGGAATGACAATGTGAAAGCAATAAATTTCAATAAATCGTCTATATAAGCATGAAGTCATTTAAGGACGACCCCCTAAGGCCTACTTCAAGAAACTACAAGTTATATAGCCTATAATTATGACTAATTATATTTGCCCCGGATATAACTGATAGTGTGTGTTTGTTTAAATTATGGTTCATCGTGTTAAATTCAACCTCCTCGCGCTCCATCACGTGACCTACTTGAGTTGGTCTCTAGTGTCTCCATAGGCCGCGTTCAATGACCTCCTGTAATATAACATAGATCACTGATGTCAAATAATACTAAAGACGAGTTTGTCTACTGTATGCTCTCTTGACTTAAAATGTTTTCATTAACTTTTTCTTGTGTGGTGTGATAGGGGGTCGCCCGTAAATGACGTCACACTCGTCGGGGGAGGGGGGTCCGTAATTTTGTGACGGAGTGTGATGAGGGGGGGGGGTCATATGGTGTGACGTCACAATTTTTAATGCTAAAAAAGCAATGTTTTAGTCGTTATTTCGCGTTTTAGAAAAATGTTTTAATAAATTGTAATGAGAATTGATTAAAATACTCTATGTTGACAGTTTAGACAAGATTTTGGGAAAAAAATACCGATGTTTTAAGACGTCATTTTAGGGGTCGGTCCGGCCCCCTCCCCGTACGAAGTAGAAAAACAATACAATTTATAGGCCTATATATAATTTATTTAGAAATATATACTCTAACCAGCGTTCCTCCCCCACCACCACCGCTGGAAATGTATGTGCACCCACCCCCTCCACAAATTAAAAGTGCCCCTCCCCCATGAAAATGTGTGAAAGAAACACATTTTCTGTACCCAGCCGCCTATACTATCCCTACCTTGATTAAGGTACCCATTAGAGCTGAGTATGGGCTCAGGAGCATCCTACCATACAGACTCGAGTATTTAGTAAGCCTATGACTGTATAACTGTAGGCAGTAAATTTAACGTGGACACATACTTTTGAAAATATTAGAGCCTACATATTGAATAAAACCATTGCTGATTCTATTTGTAGCATTATCGAGGTACATTGGTTTTAAATCAACCAGTCAGCGTTCAGTCATTTGGTGTATCGGGGGTGTAGTAGCCTGCCACAGCACCCAAGTTCAAGCGCACTGTGTGTAGTGTTGAACGAGACTGTGCTAACGTAACGCAACTCAGCAACCTTGCGTAAAGCCTGTAATTGATGTAGAATCTAGACTCATTTGAAAAGGTGACGCACATTCGTTAACATTATCGTACACATACGGAGTCTATGAGTGACCCACGAACAACTGGGCCTGCAATCATGCACGAGTTCGGGAAAATAGTAATTATAGGCTTTTCATTTATTAGCATCTCTCAACGAGGAGGGCGGGGCAATGATTACCCCCCCCCCTCCCTTCCACAACGAAATAGAAAAAAAATATTCTAAAACGAAACCATGCTTATGATTGCCCCCCCCCCCCCCCCCCCCGTCCCCTGAAGTTTCAACCCCCTAGCAAAAAATGTATGAAAGAAACCCTGATTATTAGAAGTTACATATGAATGGGGCAGACATGGAAACCTGCCCATGCTGTACAGTAAACAAAAGGATTTGACGGTTCAGGTATGTCAAGTAAATGTGTATAGGCCTACACTTTGGCTTATACGATTAATAGAAATTTTGTAATTTTATTAGAGAGCCATATGCTCATATAGGCTCCTGTATAATATTTATATAATATCTATATAATATTTATATAATGTTTATATAATAATTTTTATACAATATTTTAATACTTATATACTATTTTAATACGTCTATAATATTTTAATATTTATATAATATTTTAATATTTATATAATATTTTAATATTTATATAATATTTTAATATTTATATAATATTTTAATATGTATATACAGTGTCGGCGCCAGGTTATTTAGTGCCCTATGCAAAACGTATTAAAAGCGCCCCCCCCCCCCCTCCCATATTATCAGAGGCGTAGCGACCCTTCCCGGCGCCCGGGGACAAACTTTCGATTTGCACCCCCCCCCCCCTTTCAAACTTTCGATTTGCACCCCCCCCCCCCTCATCAAACTTTCAATTTGTTTTTCCAACCCATTTTGGCGCCCCCCCCCCCCTACGGACAGCGCCCTAGGCTATCGCCTAGTTCGCCTAATAGGTATTGCCGGCCCTATGTATATAATATTTTAATATTTATATTTTAATAGTTATATGATAGTTTAATATTTATATAATATTTTAATATTTATAATTTTAATATTTTAATAATTATATAATATTCTAATATTTATATACTATTTTAATATTTATATATTTTAATATTTATATATTTTAATATTTATATATTTTAATATTTATATACATTTAATATTTATATCATATTTATTTAATATATAGGCCTACACGTTTCATATTATATATAATATATACATGACTAATACTTATATAGTCCTACTATTTATATAATATTTATACATAGGCTGAGTGAAAATGGACTTTATGTTGATAAAATGACACAAATAAAAAACATATTACAGCCTAACTTCAGTAAAAATGAGATTACGGAGCTTGATTCTCCTTGCAATCAGCTGCCTGGCCACCGAGTTCACTGACGCTCTCACTGAATGCAAAAACCCGCCGCCCGGTATGCAGAAAATGGTGCGGGGTGTCGACATCACCAAGCTAGATCTCCTGCCGCTGGAGATTGTTGGAAACAACGGGTTAAAGAGTCCTGTTCTGAGTTTAACGTGCGCTGAGAACAAGTTGTGGAGGAATGACAAGAGCGTGGAATATCAGCTGCCAGATCAGGTACTTAGATCACGTTCAGTAAGCGGCAGAGGCGTAGCAACGGGGGGTGGGGGTACATATGTCCCCGGGCGCCGATCCTAGGGACGCCACAATTGGTTGGAAAAAAATTAAAAGCTCATTTTTAGCTGCGGTTTTGAATTATAAATATAAAAAAATATATGGGGGGGGCGCCAAATTGAAAGTTTGTCCCCGGGCGCCGGGTGGGGTCGCTACGCCTCTGGTAAGCGGTGTTCACAATATTTAAGCCGATTTAATCCCCCACCCGCGCCCGAAAATAGACCAAATCCTCCAAAATGTAGTCTCAAAGAAACCTTCCATGCCCTTTAAAATTACCCCCTCCCCCACCACCACCAGTTCAGTAAATGTACTAAATAGATTCTATGTCACTTCTCTTGAGCCCCCTCGTCACCTCGTCACATATCATTAGGGAAGTGAACCTTACCCCCCCCCCTTACCCCCCGAATATCATTGATTAAAAACTTATAAAAAGCCTCATCCATTAACAAAGTCAAGTTTTAATTAGGAATTTTACCCTTCCCCATTATCACACATCGTCACACACACAAAAATGATGTTAGCCTACCAATCACAGACACCCTCTTGAAATGGTTGTATTTTTTTCAATCATCGTTTTCGCCTATAAATATTTACTGAGCTAGGGTAACATTGCATATAATTTTAATTTCTAACAATCAAATGTATTTTTAAAAAGTCTTTTAAAAAATTTAAGTCTGTGCAGGCAGTCTAAGTGGGGCAGCAGGTTAATGAATAGCAACAACAACAACTACAACTAAATCTAGTTACTACAATTTACGTATTCTCAGGTTTGGCATATGACGACTGTTCCCGGTGGATGGCTGTCTGCGGACGTTGAGATCTACAAGTCATACGCTGCTGTGAGGAAAATGATGGCCTACAATGTGGGTGGGGAGGGAACACTCTGGAAATTCGCCTTCTCTATGAGTTACTCGTATCAGAAGATGCAAAATGTCATCACCAACACCTCTAAGTATATTTCAGATACATCTTCGTTTGAGTCAGCGACCAGAGTGGACCTAAACCCGGGGTGGGTTCTTGAATTGGATAAGTATGCAAAACTGTACATCAATACAACCATAACTGGGTCTGTAGAATCCGATGAAAGTGCGTATAATAAATTTATAGAAGAATTCGGAACCCATTATTTTGCAATCGGAAATTTTGGTGGGTACATTAGATTGCTCACGGAAACGGATATCTCATTTTTCGAAAATTTGACTGAAACGGATGCGCAACGAAGCATAAAGGCGTCTTTCCAGAATTCTATCTCGTTTAAAGCCGGAACAGAAAAGAAAACTACTTCTATAAGTCAGAGTTTTGAGGATTCATCCAAGAAAACAATCAAATATTACGGAGGGGACACCAATTTATTACGGGCAAGTAGCGTTGACGAGTGGCAGCCGACAGTGGATAAAGATCCTTGGCTGTACTCCGGTCAACTTAAACCAATCAGCGACCTGATTACAGACGAGACGAAGAAGGCGTCAATGAAAAAGGCTGTGGAAAATCACGTGACGAAGAACTATTTATACGAGTTGGAAAGACTTATCAGCACTGCTCGAGCGAAATCCGACGACGTAGTTATAAGTGAATTGCAGGTGAAGGTTAATGATTTAAGAAAAGTTAAGCTACTTGGTGAAGAAGAGGTGGACAAGTTAAAGGAAGAAATTGAAGCTGAATTTCTAGTACCTGCTTGGTTTTCAAGCAACGTGAATTTTTGTTTCAAGTGGCGGGCGGATGGCGATAGGGGTCAATGCGGGGATAAGGTCCCGAATCTTCTCTGTGCAAAAGTCAATTTAAAGACACAAGCGTACAAAGACAACACTGATAAAAGAGGCGGAGGCTGTCAAATGCAATGGGGAATCCAGGCATCCGGACATCGACCTGCGTGGTTCAACGACGTCAAACTATGTTACAAATGGTCAGCGGACGGTGACTCTGGGCAATGCGGGGGTGGAGCTGATAAGCTCTTATGCGCGGGGATCAACGAGTACACCCAAGCTTACAGAGACGACACTGACGGACGCCAAGGGGGTTGCCAGATGTCATGGATGCTGCAGGTGCCAGAGAAAGCCCCACTTTGGATTCGGACAACCAAAATGTGCTTGTCGTGGTACCCTGATGGCGATTCGGGACAATGCAGTCCACACAGCCCTAGAGATCTGTGTGCCGCTGCCAACAATTGGACAGAGTTTTACCTGGACAATACCGACAATCGCGGAGGCGGTTGCAGAATGAGTTGGGGAATGATTTCAACTTTTTGAAAGGCACAGAGAGGGCGCTGCATGTACAAATAAAAGTAAACTAAAGTAATACCTAACGGATTTTCAAAATCCAGAAACAAAATACAAACTTTGTGAACATGTTTGGATATAATAAATAACATTTTAAAGTTCTGTTACTGTCCTTTAGATTATTTTTACTTATTTATGTATTTTTTTGTATTTAATGAAAAAAAAGAAAGAAAAAGATTAGGACGAAAGTATAAGAATCTACTAAGCATTTTTTAAAGGAATGAAATCTGATGTCTTGATATACAGGTTTAAAAAAAAAAGCGCCAGCAAAAGTGATGAAATTTGGGAATGTTTTGTAAAACTGGATTCAACAAAAGTAATGTTGTGACTTGGACATCATAACATTAAACTGAGAGATTTGGACATTAAATAACTTGACGATGGAGATTTTTACTTTCAGCTTGCCTGGAGGCCAAGTTCCTTTCTGACATTTTTCTCCAGAGGGATTGGGGGGGGGGGGCACTTAGAACTTACGGGAGTATACTGGTTAAAGCAGGCCTATATATTTTCTATATAAATTATACATTTTGTTTATATTTTGTCCGAGTGTGGGTGTGGGAGATGAGTGTAAGGTACATGTGAATACCATGCACGATGCACGAAAAAGTTGCCCACCGCACCGTAATAGTAATCTGTATATAGGCTAGTAATACATGGGTCTGGGTTTGTTATGAGACAGACTTGAAAAGTCGATGTATAAGGGATTGTGAAAGAGAGAAAGACAGTACGCATCGTGGGTGTAGACAGAGGTTTCTAAAAAAGCAAAGATAAGAACAGGCGGGATTTTTAGGAGCAGTGTTTCTTCCAGACTTTTTTCTCCGGAGGGGGGGGAGCACTTGAGATTTTCGTAGGGGGGGGGGGGACGACTAAAATTTCCGAGGTTGTGGCGAACACTGTTAAAGTTAAACGAATATATTTTCTATATAAATCCCATTTCGTTTGGGGGGAGGGGGTATGTCTCATTTGGGAAGGGCGCCCCTTTCCGAAGCACGACGGTCGCCCCCGAACATAATAGAATGTATATAGAACTTTTTTTTATTTTTACCGTTTCCGGCCGCCCTCTTCATCTACCCCCCCCCCCCCCCGCGCAGAAATTCTTAACTGCCTTCACTACCACTCAGATGTATGAATGTAAGTTATGGACGATCAAACTAAATCCATGGGAAGGGGGGGGGGCGTACATAAACGTCACACTTTTAGGGAAAATGTTTCGGAAATTGAGATGAAAACCAATCAGTGTACGGTACAGTGCCTTCTCAACGTGCTCTGTAAATATTTTTTTAGAAAGAAATCGCATAAAAAAGAAAGTGATGTTGAGGGAAGGGATGGTAAGCTGAGGTGTGACGACATTTTAGGGTAGAAGATATGCCTTTTTCTGGCAATGGGGGGGGGGTAATTCGGGGTAAATCGTTTTAAAAATTGTGACGCCACATTAATATTAATTTACTTCTGTGTTTAAAGATGGGTGATGATGTTACGAGTAGGACTTCTAGATTTAATATCCCCCCTTCCACGATAATACAAAGTGTTAACGTCTCGATATAGGTGGGGAAAGAGGCGTAGTGAGGGCGGGGGGTGCGGACCGCACCGGGTGACCCCTTTTAGGAGGATGACGCCAAGGCAAAAAAGTGCAAAATGTACAGAAGAAATATGTTTTTTGCCAGTTCCATTAATTATTAATTAAGGTTAAATAGTCTTTTAAGTACAAATTGACAATTATTACAAGAGGTTGGGGGTGACACCATGACGTAAACGTGCTAACTATAGAGGAAACAGTGCTTCATCCAACTGACTATAGATAAACATCGTTACTATTAAGTCTGCAGTGATTAAAGCTTATACACATACATGTACGTGTCATATATTTTTAAATTTTAGGCCTATGTAGGCCGACACATACGCACACACACACACACACACACACACATATATATATATATATATATATATATATATATATATATATATATATATATATATATATATACTTCTATGGGGGGGGGGGGGACACCACGAAGTGCCGCACCGGGTGACACCCGACCTAGCGACGCCACTTGGTGGGGATAAAAATTAACATAATAAGTGAGACGTCATTTATGGATAACTCTTTCCTTGGTGAGTGGGTATAGACTAACATGAATAAGCACAATAAAGTGTCTTCGGTTTGGGGGTCTAGGACTAGCACACTAGGTCTTACAGATCTAGGCTAGATCTAAAAGGGGGATATAAATAAATGCTGATTTTAATATAGAGTTGCCCAACCTAGCTATAACAAAGTATAGGTGGCGCTGTCGAAATATCCCTTTCCCTCCGCCATCTTTATAACCACCGCCAAAATTTCTGCAGCTGATTTTTATAACTATTTGTTCAGTTTCTGTTCAATCTACCACGATGGCTCAATACATACAGGTGGTGGAAGACGAAAATGATGAGCCCGTTGAGATTCCAAGTGAACCTGACGGTACTCTGCTTCTAACCACACTTTCCGCACAATTTCCTGGTGCATGTGGATTAAAATACCGAAACCCTGAATCCGGGGCTTTCCGTGGTATACGGCTTGTCGAAGGAGTCTTGCACCCACCAGACGGAGTTTGGGGCAGTTTCCAGTATCTCGCAGTTTTCCCGAAAGGTTAGTAAAGAATAGATTCTATATAATGGCGTTATTAGAGAGTATTGTGTATTCTATAAGCTAGATTTTGTTCGACTATGTCCTTTGTATTTGTGTGTTCTGTTTCGAACTTGTGAACTGAGGTTCACTTCAGCATGAAAAAAGGAAGTGGGGTCTTAAAAAAACAATGACAACGTAGACCAAGATAGATTCTAGAATGGTAGAATCTTAACCCGGGCTTTGACAGGACTAGAGTAAGAAACACCTAACCCAGGGGTCTCCAAACTTTTCAGCCAGACGGCCGCATTAACTGGTACAATACCAGTTCGGGGGGGGGGGGGGGGCATAGTTACTTTGGGGTGGCCAAAGAGATGCTATGTGGAAGCCAGCTCTTGTGTTATGCTCATGTCTTCATCCACACTTCTGATGAACACAAGCAGTTGAGAGCTGAAACAGCTGTCCAGCTACTCATCCATTGCAATTGAAAAATTGTGAAACTTGCTTGCATTTTTCGATAAGTGAGTCACAATGTTGTCACCAATGTCTGGAACATGGTGGGTAATTGTATTTGCACACAAAACTACATTTTCAAATTGTTTTGAATTTTCTTGGCAAAGTTCCTCAGCCACCTCCAACAAATAAAATTTCCGTGGACAAAAAGATCTCTGCGGGCCGGAGGAGAGGATCTCGCTGGCTGTAGTTTGGAGACATTTTCAGCCTGAAACCGCATATTGGCTACTATACAAATATGTTCTTCTGCATATAGAGGAGCTTACACTTTTCGGACACACATAGCGAAAAAACGCAACGTAAAAATTCCATGCGGTCTCATTCAGTAACCGCTTAACATAGAAAACAAAAAAAAGTATCATATCTATCCGCAACCATTCTACTTTAATAATGTGTGTGTCATTTTGTATTCATACGCATAGAACTTAAGCTATTCTTGTTATAGTGACTGGGGGGTCTTAACGTGTGTTCGAACACATGTAATACAGTTTTACATGTGTTCGGACACCTTTACCCGTCATCGGACATAGCACTTTTTGTTCATTTAGAATAATTTAAAGTCAATTTAATGAATAAAAACATATATTATATGCATTTATATTGTGTTATTGATTGTTTGTGAGGTAATTTTAATAGTATAAAACCTTTTTCCCACACTCCCAAAGTTCATCCCATTCAGCCATTGCGGCTCGCGCAGTACGCTGCTAAGCCAGCCAGGTCACATGATTCCCCCTCCTCTTTCGCATTCCACTGCCTTCTTGACCTTATTTTGACCCTTTCCCTTCAATAATCAGCCCCTTTTATGCTCTAAATTCTTATTTAATAATATTTTTGTGTTGCTGTCCGATCCCATGTAAGGTCAAAAAAGTTAGCGAACACCCCTTTTTTATTGTTCAAGCACAAAAAAACCCATTAACCTTGACATTTACGATGTTCCATACATATATAGAAGCTATTTATAGTGTAACCTTTTAGCTAAGCATTGATTGGTTCAAGTTTTGCCCCTAAGTCCAACCCTAGGTCACTTCATCCGGCTGGTGTAAAAATAGAAATGTGCGTACCATGCAACGTTAAAAAATTTCTAAAAATAATTCTTGAGAAAGGAAACGGAAGTACTTGACACGGAAGTGTTCATAAATGAACAGTTTACGTGCAGGCGCCGTGGTTTCGCGTGAGACATGCTAATTAAAGTTTCTATGAGCCAAAAACCGACGAAGTGTTCGGTCCTACGTAATTTTTGGTGTGTGTCCGAAAAGTGTAAACTCCTCTATTTATTTCTTCAGCTATTTTTTGCTATTAAAAATTGTTTTAAAAAGATATTACATCAAGATGAGGCTGTGCTCATTGCAGTGATATAAATGACAGTTTGGGTCGCTTTATCTTTCTTATTCTCATTTATCGGAAATTCAATGGATTCTTTGACATGGATGGACATATTTACTACCAATGCTATGTTTCCTTATAAAGCTTTAACTGGCTATTTAAAGTGAGTTATGGAGGTGTTTGTTATGAGGCATGTAGTCGGTGTAGGCAAAGTTACTCCAAAGACAGTCCTAATTAGTTAGGTTAGGGCTTAGGATAATCATAATTGCTGTTTTGGATACTATTATTTATTTTGATTGTAGATTTATGGTCTATACTAATTAATTCATTTATTTCAACAGAGAACAAAAGAAAGGGTGAAGATGGATTTGACAACCCAGCAGCTAAAACTAAGAGATTAGAGAATCAGAAATGCTCAGATCTTATTGTACTTGGCCTGCCATGGAAAAGCACAGAAGATGACCTTACAAAGTATTTTCAACAGTTTGGTGAACTCATTTTAGTACAGGTAATTTTCCGACCAGTATTGCTTTTCTGGGGTTGTCCCAGAATTTTGGGTAATCCTATAATATAGCATTGGTAGTTATGCAGTGGTGCTTTTAGAGATTTGTAAACATGACTTATTAAATCATTGTTCATTCTACATTCAAAATATATAGTTGAGTGTATTTATTAATGTTAATAAAGAAACAGAAAAACTTCAGAAATTAGTGACAATTCGTGAAAAATAAACATTTAAAATGACTAGAGCAAAAACACCAAAAATGATTAGCAAAACACTAACATGCAACTTAAATTCACAAGCCCCACTTATGTGAATATTAAACTATATCAGGATTTCCAGAATTTTGGATTCAAGAAGTATATAAATTTTAAATTTCCGGATTCAGTTAAGGATCCAGAGTTGATGTTTTTAACAACTTATTTTGTTTTCCTCCTATAATAGATTGTACAGTATACTTAAGCAGTCACTTTTCTAATTGTTAGTTGCTACTTTAATTTAACATTTCCTATAGCGTCCTAAACGCACTCTTATTTTAATTTTCTTTATTGCAGTTCTTAAAACAGAATCATAGTAGCATTAAACCTAAAAATTTTAAATGATATTAACCGTCCTGTTAATTTTTCCCCACAATTTCACTAATTATAAAATACGAACCGGCCCGCGACATAACATATGCCGCTATTTAGTTGTTTTTTCTACTTTTCAGTAATTCATAATTTGTGAATTCGACAGTACCAACGCTGCCACTGAAATTATTTCTTTAAAACACTATAAATAGCTCGTTAAGGACCATAACCCCCCCACCCCCCTACGTTTAAAATCGTTTCAAACTAAATTATCTGCCCCTAATAGTCGTCACTAAACCTGGCTCTGCTTGTAAACATTTAGAATGAACACAGCTCACTAAGACCATGTAGGGGTGGGGGTGGTAGGGAGCGCTTACAGCTTGTTTTCTAGCGGCTCCCAGAAGAGAATTATATTATAAAATATAAGAAACAAATGTCACACTATTTCAAATGTTATAAACCAATTATTTTTTTTGACAAGAACAACAACCATTAATTTTTCATTGCAAATTTCTCTGCTATTGTGGTGTGTCACCTCATTTGCTACCACATTTGTTCTTTTATTATGTAGTCTAGATAAGGGGCCATTGGTGCATATGGAAAATGTGGGTCTAGATCAGTAATGTTGGATTTCCTAAACATTAAAATATTTTACTGTATGACAATACCCAAGATTAATATTCTCCCTTTTAGTTATAATGTAGTTTTAAAAAGAGTATATCAATGGACAATATGGGGTCTTGATAAGTGATTTATTCTAAGATATTTTTTTTTCTTTTCTGTATTACACTGTAATAACAGTTGATAGGTAAAAGCAGTCTAAAAATCAGGGTTAAAAATCATGAGGTGATAGGAGAGTTTCAAGCCAAAAGACAGTTGGGGAAGGTATCATATTGTCAATGTTTCCATAACTCTTGTGTTTATTTCATAAATTGCTTATATTTAGGTAAAAAGAGATCCTAAGAGTGGACAATCAAAGGGTTTTGGATTTATTCGTTTTGTCAACTATGAATCTCAAGTTAAATGTTGCGCTCAACGTCATATGATTGATGGCAGGTGGTGTGATGTAACAATTCCTAATTCAAAGGTCAGTTAGCTTACACTGTTCATCTTCCCTCATTTTCTTATGGGTTATTATTTTTTTTGTCATTGAAGTTCTTTCAATTAAAAAGTTTATCAGATCTTTCTGTTTAGCCTTGCCCTAAATGCTATTTTACAAATAAATTTGGGTATCATTATAGTTTGGAAACAGTGGATGGTTAATAAATTTAAAAAAAGATATGTTACTATATATGCTGTGAAGAGTGGTAGTTATTCTAGCAATGCAATTATAAGGCTTTTGCTCATCAATAAAGTATATTTTCTTGAGAATTTTGTTATTAAAGATAGTAATTTAATTTTTATAAAAATAAATGGAATGAAATTAACCAAAAGAAAACAAGTGTTCATTAGCTGGCCATTATTATTATATTTATTAATTTTTTTAAAACACGAGTTACATGTTTCTATTTGGAATGATTGAAAGTGTATTTGATTTGTTTACTGCACAGTAAATATGACATGGGTGATAGAATTGTTTTATAATTTATCTGTGTGTGTTAATTATTTATATAGGTGTGTAATAGAATTGGCAATACAATGTTAAATGTGATTGCACATGCTTAAAATGGAAGTGTTAATTTATGAGAAGTATGTTAGGTTTTTTTTTTCTTGAATTGTTTGTGTCACTATTTAGTTGTGAGAATACAAATTGGTCTGAGCAGTAAAGCTGAATGGTGTGAAAATGTTTCCCTTCCCAAGTTAGGTTCTTTAAATTCAAATTGCAGATTTATAAACCAGCATGAAATTATAGCTTATTTTTTAAATAAGAAAATGGAAGTCCTTTTATTGAAAACTTTGAACTCCTTGTTCAGTCAGGTGATGGCTGGGACAAGAAGGCCCAGCATTCAGTGAGTTTATTTTTTTAGTAAACGTTTTGAGAACTATTTTTCAAAATCATTACAACTTCTAGCGCTGGTAGAGATAATCATAACCACATGGTGCTTTTAAAAATTAAGTTTTGTCAAAATTAAACATTAACAGTTAGAGGCATCCAAATTTAAAATGCTAGTTACCATAAATGACTGAAAAAAACCAGCCACGCCAACTGTGTTCCCCCCCTTCCAGCACCATAGTGACTACAGATCTTCATCCTACCATCAAGGCTACAACTTTACCCCCTATGCGAATCAAGGAGCGGGCAACTTTTCCTTTGGGTCAGGGTCTGGTTATGATGATGGTGTAGAAGGGAGTTACCAGCAGGTTTGTAGTACTCTTCTTTGTTACATGAAGGAGAAGGAAATGATACTGATCATGAACAATATTTCTAACATTAAGGAAACAATATTTTCAGCAAATCTTTCAGTGTTTATTTCAGCTTTAGTTTTTTTCTTTTTTTGTACAAGGCTATCATTCAAATTTTCAATTCTCCTGTGGTTGAAAGGACAAGTTTATCAATTTAATTGTAGTTGGAAAGTAACTAGTATGCCAGTTCACTTTGGTTTGAGTTTGCAACAAAATATGTACATTTTGCCTTGATTAAAGCTGTTTTTTTTTTTAAAAAGCAAGTTTGTAGTCTGAAGCTGTAAGAATGTATGTGGATGGCTGGATCCTATATGTATTGAGCATGACATTAGTGTGGTTTTAAAAAAAAAATCAAATATTTTGTCAATATTGCTGAGTTGGGTGTCAAAATATTTGATGTCTAAAGCTTTTAAAAATAAGATAGTAATAACTTTGTTACCCAGATGTGTTATGTATGGCTTTGAGTAAATATGATGCTTTATACAATTAATACTTAAAATCATCTTGCACAAATTAGCAGCAAGCTATTCATGAATACTCTTTTTAATAGCTGCATCTTATTTTGTTGCCTCACTAAGGGCATTATTCCTTTAGAAAAGCTAACTTTTAACTGCTGTTTTTTCTAGGAGGGAAGCAACCAAATGATGAACCGCAAAGTCTTCATTGGACGTGTAACAGAGGATATTAGTGCTGAGGACCTACGTAACTACTTCAGCAAATTTGGTGAAGTAGTTGATGTCTTTATCCCTAAGCCATATCGTGCATTTGCTTTTGTGACCTTTGCTGATGCTGAGACTGCTCAGGCTTTGTGTGGAGAAGACCATATAATCAAGGGCGCAAGTGTTCATGTTAGCAGTGCAGCTCCCAAATCTTTTGATAAGGTATATAAAAAATTATGAGATAGTGACTTGGTAGTTATTTCTTCCCATCATTTTTACATAACTGGAACTTCATGTTTTTGTTGATTTGTTTAGGGTTCAGAACGTAAAGGCTTTGGACAAGGAGGTGGTGGCTATAATCAAGGAGGTGGTTGGGGTCAAGGAAGAGCTGCTGCACCGGGACCAGTAGGTGGTGGTAAGGTGGCGAATGGAGCTGATGGGCTTGGTGGTAATCTTGGTATGAACCTTCTCAATTCTGCCATGCTTGCTGCAGCTCAAGCCATGCTTCAAAATCAGGGTGGCTGGGGGGCTATGAATCAAGGTCCCTCTCAAGGTGGCAGTGGGGGAAATATGGGTGGTGGAGATCATCAGGCACCACCACCAATGGCACCTTTGGCTAATCAGAGTGGTTTTGGAAGCATGGGTGGAGGAAGTGGTGGGGGAGCTGGAGGTTCAGGGGGAAACTGGTGGGGGAATGAAGGCACTTCGTCATCTGGTGGTGGTCATTATGGTGGTTGGGGTGGATCTCATGGTGGGAGAGGTAGTGGGGGCTGGAGTTAATCAGTATTGAGTGCCTCATGAGTAAGTTTTTAATCAGACGAGTGAAAGCAGGGAGGAACGAGGAGCGATTTTTGACTGATTGCGTAGGATTAAAGACTGGGTAAATGAGTGTTAGAAAGTGTTTTACACATTTTGCAGCTTTTAAAAATCGTTGTATCATTCATTTTTCTTATCATGCATCACAATTTATTCATTTCATTTTGTATATTATGATTATTTGATTTTAAATTGTAATAAGTGGCCATTGAAATCTTCTGAGGCCCTTTCCTATTCTTGTAAATATTTTCTTAAATATCATTGGTATATATTATATTGTCAGAGTTTCTTGGTTTTCTTCTAATCTGGAGCAAAATATTTCATTGTTAACATCTCAAATGAAATTATTACTTGGATGTTAGTTTACTTCACTTTGTTATGTATTGGGATGATTTTCATTTTGACACTAGTGGTATTTTAAAATTCTTTTCATTTTAAACTTGTATGAAAAGCGGGTTGCTTGATTGATTGAGAATAGTTGCAACTTGGTGAAGTTTTTACTACATGAAAAGAATGGGATATGCATGCTCGAGCGCTGTATGCTGCTATTCTTATGTGGTAAACTTGCAGTTTCCAAGAGTTAACAAATGCCAATTTTGAGTGCAGAAAGAAAAGTAGCTATTTGAAAGAGCTGAGCATTTACCGTGAGTTGGGATTTGCGAATTTGTTATTCGTTTGAATGTGAATTAGCTAGGAGAAAAATCTATTGCTGCATTGTGAAATCGGACCATATTTGTTTGATGACTATTGAGAAGACTGCAAGGTTGATATACTAAGAGTGATTGAAATTGAAGACCATTTAAGCACTGCATTATTTCGTCATTCTCGGCTGCAGTATGAAATCTCAAATCCCATCTCTTAAATTTTAGTTGGCACTTTTTTAGCAATTGATCAAGCAATCCTTTATAATAAGTACAATTTAAATAAACTGGTTAATTCTACTTGAAATATGAAGTTATTAAAGTTGTGATTAGTAATTAGTGTTCCCGAGTTAAACTTTTATGTCGTAATATCAGATAGGTGTTAATAAATTGTCAAATGTTTGTTGTGTGCATTTTTTTGTCTTTTTTTTTTTCATTTAAAAATATGTACAGGAAAAATTAAATGGTCTTCATTAATAGTGAGATTGCTTTTTATATGACTTATTTACTTGTTTGTTAGTTGCTACTAGCAATGGTAATTGCAAATTTTAATTTTATAGCTGAGATGCAGCACATTTTTTAAAACAAACTAAAATTTAAAAAATTTGCCATTACCATAAAAAAACTGGAAGAATAAATGGTGGTATTTTGAGTTTGGAGATAAGATGATGATGTGTAAGAAGTAGCAAGGTATATGGAGTTGCTATTGAGGCTGCAGGGTGATTGGTGGACAGAAAAAGTGTGTTATATACAAGGCTGTGCTGGAGAAATTGAACATGGAGTAAGCTGAATGAGGCTTGTTTATTCAAATAATAACAGCCAGATTTATTATTAAATATGTTGAGTAACATTATTACTAGAGTAAAAAACTAATCCTATTTCATATTTAAAATTCTAAGATCACTGTTGAATATCAACACATTAATAAATGAGTGTTAAAATGGAACTAATGGTAGAGACTGAACCAAAAAATGTTCTGTGTGCCATTATCAGTATGGCTAAGCAAGTAAAAATAGTGAATGTACGTTTTAGTTTACTGAAAATGATCTATATTCTGCGTGATGTGATGAACATGTTTGCAAGAACGGTTTGGTTTGTGTTCTGCAAGTGTCTACTGCATGGCCAGAGTTAGTGTGTTGATGGAGGACATGAGGGTCACTGAAAGAAATGGGTGTTTGAAGGGTAAGTTAGATTGTTTGACTGTTATTAGTTAATTTGGCTGATCTGATCTTTTTTCTTTTTTAAGTTGAAAAACTTCCTGATTCTTGGGCTGGTGGATACCTCAGCAATGTTAAACTTAAATCATCTGGAAACATGAGCTATCATCCAGACCATCGTTCAGACCGCTTCAATTTTATTTATAAATATAATTCTTATCTTAGAATTTTCAAAATTTGCATGTAAAAAACTTACATTTATCAAACTTTGAAAATAATACTATAGCAATAACAACAGTAGTTAGAAGTAATAATATAAAGTTGAGGTCATTAATTTTTATATAAATATCATCTTTTTGAAAACTAATATATATAATGCATAAAGTACAGCAGTGGGTACACTATTACTTTTCATGGCCATTGTCTAATGGTAATGTGTATATAAAACTTATATTCTAAGATGTGTGAAGGAACAGCTTTGTTTATCTTGGATGGTGTTAATATATTATTTATATTAGAATGGTTTAACTTTGTGATAATTATCTGCCTTTTATTTTAACTTTCAGTTTGAGGTATTATGCTTTAACGTTTATTGGAGACAAGGTGAAAGGTCTGTGTAATGAATTGTAAGGCTGTAATTTGTATTGGTCTTACATTTTGATACCTCAGATCTTTCTGCGGAAACCCCTTGTGAAAGCAGATCTCTACGCATAAAAAAGTGAGTTTTTAAATGTTTAATTACTAGTGTAGAACTGAAATATCAAGATTGTACTCGGGTACTCTATTTGGATTATCTACTGTAAAACATTTCACCTTGCAAATTGAAGGTGTTTTCATAAAGCTTGCTTCATTCGGATTTTTAGTACTGATCCTCAAATTGGCATGTCAAGCTTTAGAGTGCATGCTACCAGAAAGTCGAGGTTTATGTAGTGGGTGGCATGGCCTATGCCATAGGACACACCCAAGAGTTAGAGTGGCTAGCAACATGATTGTGCTATCTCCTCAAGTCTACAACTTGTTTGTTAAGAGAATTGCTCTAGCTAGCTGCATACGCTATTTTAATCGATTACATCTGAGTGAGGCTAACTATTTCTGATGCATTGTAGTTTTCCACATTTTCAGCAGATTGCACTAGTTATGTTGTATGAAAAAGGTGCACATCTAACAGCACCTATTTATAAATGAATAATTTATTTATTATAGCAATGCATTCATGGTGTGTATACTTAATGGCTTATTCAAAATCATGTTTAACTTTCAGAAAAGATATATGCATAGCTGTTTGAATTGAATGTGCTAACTATTACTTAACAATTGTTATGACAAGTTCATTTATAAGGTGCATTTTACATGTGTGCTTTTTTCCTTATTGTTTGCTGTCATTGAACAAAATGGTCTTAATAAAAGAAAGAAATACAGTAGTTTTCTTTTTTGTTGATTTATTAATAATAAATTACTGTGCTGATAAAAAGATAAAGCATCAAGGCTATTGGGTGGTGTTCAAAATTTCATATATCCTTTTTCAAGATGGTTAATATAGCGAGGAAGAGGGTTTTCTCTCAAAACTTTTTGTACATAGGTACATGAAGGCCTTATTACCATATTCTCCATACTGAAAGTATCCAAGCCAGCCTGCAAATAAATCAAAGGGGTAAAAATTTTCAAACCCTAGAGTTTCAATTAGTAATTGATTTGAGGAAAAAAAACAATTGGATTGGTTGTTGTATTACCAAAACTAGGTGTTTAGCTATTCCTTGTCTTTGAAAATCTGTAGGTACTTCAGTGTGATATAGATCTACGTGTCCAGGTTTAACCCAGGAGTATTGAAGGATGGCTAAACTCTCACACTCTCCTGATGGATCTGAAAACAAAATGTATGCAGTTAAACATCACTGCACTAAAACTTCACTGTATAGCAATTTTTCATGACACAAAATCAATATTTGCCAGCTATAATTAATAATTCTAAGTAAAATTTGTCAAACAACTAGTTAACATGGCTTTCTGAAATAGCACCAACCTTTTAATCTTATGTAGAAATATTGTTCTGTTCTATCATGACCAACCACATAGTTGGACATATCTACTTGACTGTTCTTATCACCATTGGTAAATCTGTGTAAGAGATGAAAAAAACTGGTTTGCCAATAATCAAAAGTGCACTTTTCATAAATTGCTTACAACATAAAAAAAATTTGAACAAACCAACACTACCAGCATGCATGAGGAAATTAATTTTTCAGTATGAACTAAGTTAAATAGGTGAGGTGACATAAATGTAAAATCTCTTGCATGATAAAATCAGTTAACATGCGTAATTTCCTCTTAATGAAAGTTAATACTTGGGTACTTGAAATGTATTAAAAAATCTGTATAATAAAATAATTATGAACAATGGAATTCATTGCATAGTGAGCCTTAAAGTTAATGTCTAATTTCCAAGAAGGTGCTGTACTAAAAGTCAAATCAATAGACCTTTTAAAAAGTTTGTTGAGCTGAAGACCGTCATAGAAAGCTATCAAGACCATAAAATTACTTGCAGTAATTGTTAACTATTTCTTTACTGGTAATATCAATGCCATTTGTTAGGTCTGTCTGTCAACTTGTCATGCCAGCGTTATTCAATTATTCCTATTATGATATATTTACAGGCTCTTTCCCTAATGTCATATAACCTTAGTTACTATAACACTAGACAGCTAAGTAGTAAAAGTAGGTTTTCTCTCTGTATTTTAATTGATAATATAGTAGGGTTAATAACGAAGTTATTAGAATCTAACTATTAAGTTAAGCAAGGTAAAGTAACTTATGGCTGATATTGACTTCCGGTAAAATTTATAGTTGTTCTCCTCAAGTGTGATAACACTTCTGCATTTTGAAAAGAAATGTTAAAAATTGAAATAATGAATGTCATCAGCTGTTAAAATGGCTGTTTTTTATAAATTGTCATAGAACAGTCATTGCTGCAAAGTGAAATATTACTCATTACCATAAGGTTGTGGTGAATCTCTTCAAAAGAAAATGCTGCAAAAGGGTGGGAGTGGCTTTTTATGATGATGGATAGGGGGGGGAGGTAAATAATATTGTACCCAAAGCATTATCTTGTTTATGGAAGACCCTAATGACAAGTTCATTGATGGATATGTAATGCCAATAGATCTCCTTATTAAAAGTTCTATTAATAATACTACAATACCTTCTTGAAATCTGAATTTCCAGAAACAGTTGACTTGGTTTTCCCTGTTTAATTATATGTTGCATAGAAGGATGGGCAATTTTTACATTCCTGAAGTTTGCTTGCTTCAAGTTATAATAAACAGTATTTGTTGATAAAAGTGATGACAGACGTCTATCTAAAGCCAGCTGTTTATTTGAGTTACATTGCAAAAGTAGTTTTGAGAGAGATCTGGGAATATATCTGGAAAATGTTTCCATTTGGCAAGCGATTTACTTGTAGCTATTTTTTTATAATCATTACCTGGTTGAGCATAACAATACATAATTAATAACAATTATTAGGCTATTTAAAAGTTTCTAGCTAGTAACACATAAAATACCCTCACATATAAAACTATACATATAATTCTCCATGTGGGGACCATGCGAGACACCACCCAAGATGTAAGCTCAACAGACCATATTGCTAGCACCCCCACCAGTCTGTTGTCACTGTTGAGCAGTTTACAATCGTAGTGACGGCTATTAGGGGCAGATAATTTAGTTATCAAACTATTTGAAATTAAGGGGAGGTAATATTAATAACATGTTCTGCTTGCTCTTTTCATTGTCATCTGTAATTAACTGTCGTCACAGACGATCATTAGTGTCGCATTCACAAATTATGAATTAGTGAAAAATAGGAATTAAACTAAAAAGCGGCCTATCCTACGTCGCGGGTCAGCTCGTTAGGATTATTTTAGATACCGATGTCCGTTAATAGACTCTTCCATAAAATAGGTGTGTTGGGTTGATAGTTAGTAGTATTGTAATCTTGACCAATTTTAGGGTTAGGCGTATGGTAGGTCTAGGGTTGGGGACAGGGTTAGCCATTGACAATGACTTTAGCCAGCAATGTGTGTATTTAGTTAACTACCAGTAACCAAACACCCCTTTTTTAAAGAAGATTCCATTTTTTAACACTGGTATTAGGTAGTCCAAACTGGCGAAAAAGTGCGTTTTAGGGTCAGTTTTTGCGGTTTTCAAAAAAAAAATTTCACTACTTTTAGTTGTCCTATAAGAATAAAAATTATATGTCAATAAAGTTTAAGTCTTTATCTGTCGTAATCTGGTATTTTTATATCTGTAACACATGTTTGAATGTGTTTTATATTTGTTTGAAAAGTATCAGTTACGTCAACAAATTTCACCGTTTTGCGTGTACCGATCGACCCCACACTGTTTTATTTGGTCGCGGCTTCGCGACGAAGCATCGTAGAAGCATAATCTTAATGTCATTTTAAAGATCGAATTCTAGGCTATCGTTTGATGTATAAATTGAAAAAATAACTTGTTTATTTCATTTAAAAAATACAGATTTTAAACTTTAAATGACGATATATACACGGAAACAAACTAATTCTGTTTCAATTTTTACACCGATGTAAAGTTCAGTTTTATAACTACTTTGTGTTGTAAATTCAAGTATTTCTGATTTACGGTCGCGAAGCCGTACCCCCAATAAACATATAACCCTCGAGTCGACTTTCAGCCCCGAGTAAGTTGCTCGCCGAACGGTTTTAAAGGTTGACGACAGATGATGCTAAACGGATTTTACCCTTGCTAGAGCCTTCAAACAAGTTGTAAGTATCATTTTTAAAGTTTCATTTCCATTTTAATAAATGAATTTTAAGTTTGAATGTCAGTTTGGTTTAATTAGTACACGTTATTAATGTAAATTTGAACGCTACAAGTCCACGGTTTTAGCGTGTGAACTACGCTTGTACACAGGGTGTGTTTAGACGTGAAGCTATTTAATTCAGGACATTCTAGGGACTTAAAATATGGATGCACTTAACTATTAGATGCTAGTGTTTACTAATTCTTTAAAATCTATTGACTGGGATCAATGATAGGGTCGTATTACTACAGTTTATCTGGACTATCACGTCAAAATTATGAATCGACAAATTCAAAATGGCCACCAGACTATCCTGGTTACTATGTGGACGAACTCAATTATTTACAGGGAACGAAGGTTAAATACTTATAAAATACTAATGAAACACAAAAGAAATTTATAATTATAATAACTATACATTTTTATCAATATATTTAAAACAAAAGACACTAAATTTGAAGGACTAATGTGATATTTTCTGTTGTGCACTCTGATTCTGATTCCCCTGCTGAATAATGTGAAATGGTCTGCGCCAGTCTCCTTAATAAAATGTACCAGATCAATTTTTAGATGGTTGTGCAATTTATTAAGATTGTACATGTTGTGACTTAGTTTTAAATGTTATATTAGTTGTAAGTGTAAGTAGTACTAGCAGTATTTCTCATTATTTATTTATTTTATATGCATATAATAGTAACAATAAAGGACAGTTAAGTTGTCCTATAGGATGTTGAGAACCACAGTATGGCATCTTCATCATTGGATATCTCAACCATTGTGGGACAAGCAACGATTATTTCAAATTTCATTCAGTAGAATTACTCTTAAAAATATATATAAAAAATATAAATTACTTTTAACAAAAAGGTGTTTTCAGGCTTTTTCATATGTTTCCAGTTATAGTCATATGACAAATAGTAGGCCTACACAATAGGCTAGTAGTAAATTTAATTATATTTTATTAATCACTAAATCAATTGTTCGTTCCATAGCTGGAGACATTTATGGTGGCCTATCCAGAACTTTCCTTACAAGGGAAGGGAAGAAGGCCAAGACCCCACTCCCCCTCCCCCCTACAATTCCCAAAACATATTACTTACTCTTGATGCTCCACAAGATCAAGGTTGAGGGAAACAAGACGTACAAAGATGTTCCCCCAAAACTGTTCCCCCAAAGCAGTTATCAGGTTTGAAAAGAAACCAAAGCATGTGGCATCAACTGCTGCATCACTTGTAGGCATCACATCTTTATTAAACTACATTACATTACAGTTACTCTACTAAATTTTGATTCTGTTTCTCCTGCACTAGATAACTATGGTATTTTTTAAAAAAATATTTTAACTCATGTGATTTTTGAAAATAATTAACACATTTTTCCACGTCGATGTTACCAACACAATAATTTTAGAGTTATTCCAAAGCAAAAAAAAAAAATTGAATTTTTTTTTTTATGAAAATAAAAGTGACCAAAACGCATTTTTGTCATTTTAAATTTTTTTTTACCTTAGAAAGACTCATTTTAGATGAGTGAAAAAAATTGGGCATATATATTACAAACTTTGCAGCAACTTTACCAATTTCCACACTTCTATGTTATTTAGTTTAAAAAATATGGGTTCTCAAAAATGGCACTTTTTGAAAATCAGTTTTTTACCAAATTTTGCTTTTTTAAAAATCGCATAACTTTTTTATTTATTGAGATATTTTTATAAAACTTGTGGCATAGACCTTACAATTAAAAGTTCTTTCATGACATACTCACTCCAGAAGTCTGCAATCAATAGTTAATTTCAGTTTGGACTACCTACTGGTATAAAAATTCCCCCAACTATATTATTAATAATATTAACTACATAATATAACTTATAGAGACTCTAGTTATAACTAAGGCTATATTTGTATAAACTAGACTATAGAGCCGAGTTAGTATTTTTTTTTTCATCTTTGCTAGCAATTATTCAATTATTTTATTTAATATACAGTATTATTATTAAATTATTACTATTAATTATAGAGTCTAGGCCCAATTTACAAATTATAATTTAATTTATTAGAGTAAAATTAGCAGTTGGCCTAGGGACCTTGGCTAGTAATGTACATAAAATACCCTCACATATTTATTTATAACTGTAGTAGTAGTATTGAATAACTAATCTAAAATCTAACTAGATCTAAGTTTATGTCACACTGGTAATTTAGATCTAGAATCTAGATTCTACTAGAAATCTAATCAGCTAGACTTACTAGTCGACTAGTTATTAACTAATAACTAGATTTCTAGGCCTAGCTTAGTTCTAGATCTGGAAATTCTAGAGGCAAGTGAAAAATCTTGTTAGGCCTAACTCTCGATAGATCTAGTTCGTTACAGTACAGAATCATGTGCTTAAAGCTTGTACTTGTATGTGAGCCAGATAAAAAAAACGGTGAACGGAAAAGTCACATGGGAAAAAAAAAACAAAAAAAGTTCCAGTTTTTGCTAGGAAAAAAAGTCACAGAAAAAAAGTCACAATTGAAAAATTTTATCGGAAAAAGTCACAAAAATCTTTTCAGAAATATTTTGATTTATTTGTTGAAAATTGTAAAATGTTGTATGTTTATTGTTTTGGGTTGTATTTTTTTTTATATCATGCGCATATGTCATATATTAATAATTATAGCCGTTAAAAGCATTATGGTTTATAACAATTGTGAGTAAAAAAAAACACTCCAAGGGGGCGTGATTCGATATAAAAGTAGATTGCGGTTTGACACCGTTCATCCAATCGCTATGAAACTTTTGGAAGTTGCTTAGAACACTCAGGGGGAGGTTTTGCGAGGGCGGCGCCCCGGGAGGGTGCAATTTTTCTCTATATACACTATAATAAAGAATAAGATTTGAATGCGTTCGACACCGTTCATCCGAGTGTCATAAAACTTTGGGGAGTTGATGAGAATACTCTCGAGAAGGTTCTGCGTGGGGACAAATTTTGCACGGGCGGCCTCCGGCAGGGTGCGATTTAAATACAGTAATCTATGACGTGATTTCATTTTGTTATCTCCCCTTAGTTTCGAACCTGTTTAGTTAATTTTTAATGCCTATTTAAACATCTAACTAATTAAAAAAAAAACGTGTATTGACATCGAAGTGGAACCTATCTAGAAAGTTTGAACGAAATCGCTGCACATTAGAAGTGGGTTAAAATTGAGTTACAAACTTTCCAGCAAACAAACAGACGTTGCGAACTAAATAAAAGCTTGTAAAAAGAACTTCACTGGTAGACCTATTGGGGGAAGAGCATGGGCAGCCGATCCTACACTATTCTCAACGACACTGTCGTTGAGTGGCTTATCAACAGTGTTGGTATATAATAACGCTATAGATTTTTTCTCATTTGATTCTGTCGTTGAGACTCTAATTATAGTTATAAACTGTAAAAACTAGCTAACGGAATAAAACCATTTCGATTAATTAATCGCTTACAATATTTAATATAAGAATAATTAAACAACAATTCATTTTACAGAGCTAATAATAATTAATATTATAAAAAATGTATCTTCTGTCTTTAAAATTGAAAATTAAATTATTTTTAGCAATATAAATTAATACAGTGGATTGCTGAATTTAATTGTGATCATAGTTATGATTAATTTTAGAGATTGTATGATTAATTTATACACAATTTAGAATTACAGAATATTGATTATTCGGTACAGAAAACATTAGGGTAGAGATTACTAAACGATATAATATAGGATTATGTAATATAGAATATATTAGTATATTATTATAGAATCTAGGCTATACAACAAGTAATACATGATATGATTGCAAAATAGAAAAAATACATAATATAAAAGCCCATTTTTTAATCGAATTTAAGACTCATTTCGTTTACAATATGTTATTACAAATATAAAATTGCAGAATACGTAATAGCTATTTTTATCGAATTTATACATAGAATGTGCTATATAATCTTAAGAACATGATTATGTAGTGGCGTAGGTACAAGGTGTGCCAAGGGGCTATACCCTCCCCCGATATATATATATATATATATATATATATATATATATATATATATATATATATATATATATACATATACATATTTACTGTACTCAAGTAGTACCCCTAACCAGAGGCGTCACAAGGTTGGGGGGCGGGGCTGAGGACTGCACAAGGTGGCAAAATTTCGGGGGTGACACCATGGCGAAAAATAGCAAAATATATAGAAGAAGTAAGCATTTTGCCAGTTCAATAAATGACTAATGAGAGTTAACTGTACTAATAACTGACTGCAGATTAAAAAAAAATACAATTAACTGTGCACGTTTAAAAACTATCACCCAGGGGGGGGTGAGGGGAGATGACACAAACTGCAAAATGTACAGGTAAATACATGCTTGTTGAATTTTTGGATAACAGATTTGCTAAGCGACGACCGGAGAGAGGCTGATACCAAAATCTAATATTTTACGATGAAAACAATGCTTTTTTTTCACATGAATTAATAGGTGGATTATGTGCAAAATTTGACGCCATTGGGGAAAATGGGAAGTCACCAAATGTAGCAATAAATATATCGATTCTATATATAGATCCCTATATAGGGTATATATACGTAAAAGTAGATAGCGGTTTAATCCCGTTCATCCGCTCGCCATAAAACTTCAGGGGAGGTTTTTTTTTTTATTTTAACAGGGCGGCGCTCCTGGAGGGTGCAATTTTTCTCTACACAGTTTGTAAAAAACAAAACGGATGCTGTTTGACATCGTTTATCTGAGTGCCGTTAAACTTTCGAGAGTTAATGAAAACACTCACGAGAAGGTTTCTGCGAAAACAAAAATTAAAATTTATTATGGGCGTTTCCCTGGAGGGTGCGATTTTTGTTAATAAACGGCTTGGCGCCTGAAAATCCAGGGCGGCGATATTAAAACTGCATGGGGGCTAAGGTAAAAAAGCAACAACAGGCGCAGCCGCCGGCGCCCCGGATATTACGTAACCCGAAGCGCCCCGTGCTACCATGTGAACACTATGACGCCTACGTTCGTTTTTTTTTTTTAAATTTATACACTAAAGACACGATGGGCAACAATAATTTTTGACTATATGGAATCAGGCGCGTCTGCCGGCGCCCCGGCAGGATGCGATTTGGCGCCCTGGGATATCCTAAGGTTGTGTTAAAGAGCACTCTACAATATTGACCCTGTGGCACACGACATTCGATGACAATTCGTTTGACCCGGTGCGCCACTGGCTTCGGGAGGAACACTATGAGTTTTAAAAGAGCGCCCTACAGTAGGGAAATTTTTTGTCTACTGCACCACTGGCGTGTGGTCTAGCGCCCCTGTGTGGGTCCCTCATAAACACTATTGCGCCTACGTTCGTTTTAAAGAGTGCGATACATTATGGATACAATGGGCTACTGTGTGCGGTAGAATTTGCGCCTCAACAACTATGATGAAAGCAATATAACACCGGCTTTGATTACATTTAAATTGTTTAGATTTACAAATCAATGTCAAGCGTAAAAAAATACGTGATTGCTAATGTAATTATGGAATCCTCTTAAAATATTGCGTCAGTCTGTCTTCTGAGACCGCAGCAACGCGCGGGACGGGTACGCTAGTTTAATATATATTTCTTCTATATAAATAATTCTCTTCATGGATACCATAGAAAACACCAAGCTGTAAGCGCCCCTAGCAGCCCCCTCTCTTTCTCTCTATCCCTACCACCCCCATCCCTACATGGTCTGGTGAGCTGTGGTTCAAGCTAAATGTTTACAATCGTAGAGTCGGGTTTAGTGACAGCTATTAGGGGCAGATAATTTAGTTTGAAACGATTTTAAACTTAATGGAGGTAACTCAGAGGGGGCTGCTTTCACGAGGAGGGGGGGTAGGATTTTTGGGAAAGGAGGGTGGGGAGGGGGGGTTATCGTCCTTAACGAGCTACTGATAGTGTTTTAAAGCAAATATTTTCAGTGGCAGCATTGTTACTGTCGAATTCACAAATTATGAATTACTGAAAAGTAGAAAATGAAACAACTAAATAGCGGCGTATGATAGCGGCTCGTAAAATATAAAACACAATGTAAATACCTTTGTTATACCTACGGAAAATAATAATATGTAACATGGATTCCTGAAATTTTGCGCTGCTTTAATTTTTAACGTTGGGATCCTCCATCAACATCCATACTCTCCTTTAGTATGTTCAGGCTTTTTTTTCATTTATGGGAAAGGACGATCGGAAAGTGTGACGACACATTTTTGCTTTCATCCGTTATTTCGGGCTTTAAAAGATTGCTTTTGGTATTAATTCATTTATTAACTCAATGTTTATCGAGGTCAGTACATATTATAATAAACCGGGAGTGATCTCCCCTAAACTTTCTCGAATATTCTAATATAACACTACGGGGAATGGCAACTCGGGATATAGACATGATTTTTAATCCATGTTAAATACTTAAACTTTTTAAAATAGAATAAAACCTCGTAGAAAAAAGAATTGCACACCAAGTGAACGTCAAATAAAGATGTGCATAATAGTGCGCAACATTATTAGTACTTTCTAAATTTACGTGCGTTTTTTGAGAAATCGGAAATAGCGTAAATTAGTACTTCCTGTCAACGGAAATTACTCAAAATTGGACAGAAGGTAGATAATTAGATCTTTTACTTACATGTGAAATTTCATTTATCTATCTGAAATAGTACTCAAGGTATAGGCTTTCGAAAAATTCAAAGTAGAAAAAGTACCACTTTCGGTTATCGGAAATCACTCAAAAGTTTATACGGATCTACGATTTTGATAAAATACTTATATATGAAATTTCATCAACCTAGCTGTAACGGTACTCAAGTAATCGTGTTTACACACAGACACACACACAGACATACGGACAAGATTGCAAAATTATGTTTTTCCGTATCAGTGAGGTGTAAAACGTCGAGATTTGTAAAAAATCTCGATTTTTTTTTTTTTGCACGATTACAAGACTTTCTCTATACTTCGTATATACGAGAAAGTAAAAATGCAGTTTCAGGGGAACGGCGGAGGGGGTTATGTGTAGAGGTGTGGCTTTTTTAAAGAGAGTGGTGGGGGGGGGGGGAAGCGATCAAGATCTGGCTTTTTGTGAAAATGTGTTACAATTAGAGAAGGGGGGTTGGGTGCAAAATCGTCTGAAGAGTGAGTCTTCGTTAATGGGTGACCACTTTATGATTGTATATTGACGTCACCATCATTTTGGGCGGTGGCTTTATGTGACGATATGTAACGAGAAAAAAGAGGGTTGAGTTAATGGCGTAGGATTTATTTTGCATTTTTTAAGGATACAAATAATAAAAACACTGCTTATTTTGTTTTACATGTGTGACGACATTGTGTTAACCAAATG